CTCTCTGTGAAAAAGAAGTAAACAGAGAAGAAAATTTTCTTTTCGACGATTCCTTTTCATAAGCTGTGTAATAGTAATTATATTTAATAAAAAATTCATAAGACTAATCAGATATTGGTAAAATTTGTCCTCGAAAACGTATCACGTAATGTAAGGTATAGCCTGTAAGGGGTGAATAATTGGAAATTAGAAAAGGGGTCAGAAGTTGGCGTGACATAATCAGTGTGAGAAAATGACTAATCACTATAGCTGGATAGAGTGGACAAGAACTGGTGAAAGACGATAAAGTGTTTTTATAAAATCTGGCCACTGTAGGGCGATGGAATGTATATTCTGCTTTTGAATGTAAAGGTCCGGTTTCAGATCCTGAATAGCCAATGATTCAGCTAAGTACAGATAGCATTTTTGAAGTCCTTTCGTACGATATTGAGGGACTCTGTGTAGCACTGTGTAACATTAATGCTGGAGTGCTTGATGTCCAGAGTTGACAAGGTGTTTGACAATGGAGCTGCTAGTATTCTTCTTTTCTCCTCTGGCTAGCCAAGCTGGACAGTGTTCCAGAATACGTTGCGTACGGATGATGTACTTTGCTCCACACGAACAAGTAAACTGATAAATACACATTAAGGTGACCAAAAGCTGTATCTTATCCCTAACTTGAAATGTCTTCTTCATGCATTTACAAAGGCGGCTTCTAAGAATTTCTGCTTCGATATCTATCACCTTTGGATTTTAGGTTCATGAAGAGAGTTTTTTTGGGAACAGTTGTGACTTTTGGCGACGGAGGTTTGTCCTTCATGTTTTTGTCGATAAATCTTGATGGATACCATTCTCTAGTAGGTTTTCACGTAATAAATTTAACTCTCTCTGTCAAGTCTTCTGAATAGATCTTTCGAATCCTTGAACTTAGTGTACGTACTAGTTTTTGATTTCGGCCAGTGGGACATCAACCCAGTAGCCATCATTGAATGGACCATTAATATTCAGGTTATGGGACGAAACACCTGTCCAGCGCTCCCTAGTTTTCAATGAATGAATCTAACAATTGGAATAAAATAAATGTTAATGCACTAAAAGATGAGTCATGCTTACTGTAGGAGAGTGAGTGATACTACATGAGTGCTGAAATCTAATTAAATGAAGTCGGCTTCGAAGTTAAAAGTGGGATGTCTCATTCATTAAGCCATAATAATAATCCACTGAATGAAATCTTCCTTGATAGTGGGTAGTTTCATATTGATTTACAGGAAATTGTACACTAATTCAGCCTTCGTACAAATTCAAATTAGCGTCTAATTTCATTATGTGGTGTGCGTAACCATGAGCATATCTTTTAATCCCCAGTCAAGTCTAGAAATATCATACTTGTTGGTACGATAAAACTTTTCGTTGGATATGAAAGATACTTCTTCAGATAACTGTATTTTGGAAACTCAACAATGCATCAATACGTTTAACTTTACATTGTCTCTATTACTAGATATAGTAGATGAGAACCTCTGGACATAAGTTTGTTTTGTGAAGTATATTGAAAGAAATAATGGCGAAGTTAAAGTATCGTAGCCAAAGTCAAGGTTTGTCAAAAGTTGACCTTCGAGAACCATTCAGATATAGGGAATGTTATAAAATGTCATTCCTAATCAAATCATGTCTATCTTTTTGGCCTTGTAGAAGGTGGACACGGTATTCTACTTATTCTCTAAGTACTTTTTCTGTGAATCTATACTGTTAGGTAGGGTTATGACTTTTTAGATTAAAGTCTAGTGTTAAGGTTAGGAATGGGATTAAAGTTAGGATTAGGAGTTAAGATTACGTTCAGAGTTAGGGATAGGTTAAAGAACAGTATCAGAATTATCAGTCGATCTCAGAGCACCGTGATCTACAGTCACCTGGACGAATACATCTATTGCGCATGGTATGATCTAAAGATCATCTGTATGGTGACTCGGGAATATTCTTACAATATATAAGCGACAACTATATAGTGTAATGTGCTTGCAATGTGTTTTTGGTGCATTTTTCAACGATCATGCGACGTTTTCGCATCTGAATTTTGATTGGTTGTCGAAGGTCATTGTCGTTCTGGCGATGATAGTTTAACTTTGCTAAAATAATATACTCAAGTGTGTGTTAGTTTGTAGGAATTTGATTAATTTCAAAGTCGGCACAATTTAAAACCGTCAATAATTAGTCCAACCATTGAAATCAATCAGATTCTTACAGGTGAATACGTGAAATCGAATCCTCTATTCATAGTTGATTGACTACAGGATGAACTTTCGCAATTTCTAATTAGAGTTCATCACCCATGTGACAACATATGTTTGTTTGGTGATGTTAGATGTTGATGATTGTATATGTTATGAGTTGGCTGAAGTCAGAAAACTTGAGTGATTGAATTCCAGCTAACCCAGTAGCTGAATGTTTAACGTACCCCCTTTGTATAACCTAAAGCTTCTGGGTTCGATCCATTGTAGGATTATGGGCGCATACCACTGAAAAGTTCCTAACTAGCGGAGACAACTGCTCAGTGCTGCATGGTTTTCAATAGTTCTCTAACTAATATGGCTTTGTGTTGAAGCCTAATTGGAAATAAAAGTCAATCTGAACGAAGAATATTCTTTTCAATAATTTCTCTTCAGGTTCTTACAATTATAAAATATAATATTTGTGGTCGTTACAAGAAAGGCCAGTTGTGCGGCGGATACATTTTTAACGTAGAATAATAGATTAGTTATGGGGTGTCAAAATAAATAGTCATATTTGTGTGACAAACGTGCTAGGCTGAAATCGATTACAAATATCGTAAAACGGGAGACAATGGTGGTGAATAATCATAATAGAATTGTAGAGTGTGGGGTAGGAAAATTGACAAATCAGTTCAAGGTTATAAAAGGTGTCAAGTGAGTCCATTATGGATAAGATTTTATTTTGTTTTTGGAGTTTTAATGGAGTTATACTCTACCACAGTGCCCAAGTTTTATACTTGTGTCAGGTGAGTGGCTAGTACAAAGTGGTCTGAGTTAAACAGGAGATAGTAAGACTGGAATGAGAGGATCATAGTGAGATAACGAATGTGTTAAATGAAACAGGTGGAGGCATATATTGAGAAAACAGATAATATCATTAATAATAAGTCCGTATGGAATGAAAATTCGATAGTATTGAGGGAATGTTTGCATAAAAGGCATAAATTATGACGAATAATAATAATAACTGTAATAATAATATTTATTATAATAAGCAAAGTAAAAAAGAAAAAAAACCAAGAGGATTAAGGGGAAGGAACACTCATGGTGAGAAGAAAAATCTTCAATCCAAGGTTGGCCACGGTAGGAACAGCGTCTGGACGTGTTCTTTTTTTGGATACAGAGTTCCGGTTTAGTCGATCTTATTGCAGCAGCTTCAGCTGTGTGTAGGAGACGTAAGCAAACTGTATGTGATAACGACTTCGGAATTCGGTATAGAACCCTGAAAGCTGTGTTGACATCGATGCGATGTCCAGTATCGACCAAGTGTGACAGGATCGAGCTTTTTATGCACTTAATTTCCTCCCTCCAAAGCCTCAGGATGGTCGTGGGTGGGTGCCTTGCGCTGCGGTTGGCCACCCCTCCGTACACCTCTTGAAATGCTCCCATATGACCGGGCGTCTTACATAGCCTCTCCTGAGGAAGTCCTACTCACTGCCTTCACGTGGCGGAGGTGTTTTCACCGAAGTGAGAGGGCAAAAGCGGATGCCCGGCGCTCTTCACCGGGTTGACTGTCCATTGGATGACAGTCTAGGGGAGATGGCTAAACCCTGATTCCAAACCTCCAACGACTGGCGTATGAAGCTCACCGGCAGACGTATGGACAAAGGGCTTATTGGATGCCCTGGATGACTGGCCCCATTCAAAAAGGCGAATGAACCGGACTCCGGTCACCGGCTGCCAATGGATAGTGGACTCCCTACTCCACTCCTACTGCCTTGTAGGTCACACTTGGTTGTGTAAAGGCTAGAGCTGCACTCTCAAACAAAAGGCCGAGCGATGCTGGGGACATCACTCGTACCCAATTCCCATGAAACTTCATGGTTCATGAAGCCGGCTCATCCTCCCGTAGGAGATAGCCGAAGTAAAGTAAAGTAAGTAAGTAATTTCCCCCCTGCTGAACCAAGCTGGTAAGTGTTCTCGAACCGGTAGACGAACCTGCCTAATCGTGCGCCCTATATAACTTGAACCACAGGAACAGTTGAAATGGTATATGCATGAAGAAGAGCTAAGGTTAGCTAAGACATCTTTGAGTTTCTGGGTGAACATTGGACGGCTAGTGGGAATATTTCACACTATCAAATCTTATAATTGGAAATAATGTAATTCATGAAGTCCCTCTTATTAGCACTCACCAACAAAGCATATCTGCAATCTTGAAAGAAATGAAGTCTTCAGTGAGAATTGAACCTGCATCATCTAGTACAGCAGTTGGGGAGGTTACTGTTGAGCTAGGTATTAAATCCATCACTAGATATCTGTGATGGGAGAAGATATGAGACTTAGTAACGGACCTTTACTAGGGAAAAACCTCATATTCATACATTCTTGGCCACATTGACTTAAAATGTTGATTTTGGTTCTCGGCCGCTTCCTATCGATTTGCATCACGCCACATGTTGTCTACTTAAATATAACTGAATCAATACTACTTGGAGTATATACCACTATACAGAGCAGCTACATTCATTTTACGTGATGAACTCACCAATAAGCCAGAGATTCTTTGTACGAAAGAGTATCTAAACCTTAGTAGAGTGGATTAAGACATATTGGTTGGAAGAACAATGTTCAAATCAATGAACTACAAATCCACAACATGTTAAAAAGTGCTATACTCTACTTTTACTTTCTAGGCATTTCCATAACAGGGTTATATGTGGCAAATATAAATACATAAACTATTTACAATGAGTTTAAGTTAAATATGAAGTTTTAATTCTCATTTCATTCGTTTTTCTGCGTTTTCAGGTGCCGGTGAATCAGGGAAGAGTACAATTGTTAAACAAATGAAGTGAGTACCTCTTTATTTCTTTTTTTTAAATTTCCCCTTATTTTATTTATTCATTTTTAAATCAAGTTGTATTCAACAGAAGCACAACGTCGTATCGTATCAATATATTTCACAGAAAGCATCCCCTACTTTATGATATAAACAGCTGGGAACTAATCACACTCATCAACATCTCTAGCTAGCCAGTTTGAAGGGGAGGGCTGATTTTAATACTGCGAAATCTGCTTCCATTCTTTTAGACTAACATTACAGTCATTTACACAGAATAACTTGAAAATTTATAGGTTAAGTCAGTTTTAGTCACCTTAATGCTTATAGGGCTATTTGCACGAATTAGTTAACATAGCATCAAATAAATTCTTTGCAAGATTCAGAAGCCGATGTGAAATTTCTTTCACGTTTTATTTCAAACTGTTTGTATCATATATTGTAATGTCAAGATATCAAACATGAGAGCTGTACGACACATACTCGTGTATCTAGATAGTTATATGAGTGCTTCGGTGTGTGCACTCTTGCTCATGCCTCTGAAACATGCTGAGAATGGGCTACGACTGTGAGTATTCAATCATTGCTGTTTCCATAGAATTATCTGTGTCTGATGCCATCATTGTGTGAGTAGTTCTGAGGTCCGGTAGCGTGTATTTAGAGATAGAGATCACCATTCATAGAGTATCGGTATATGGAAATGCCAGCTTCTGTGTCTTGGGTATGTGCTACGAATGTCATCCCAGAGGCTTCCGTATCAGTGTCTGTTTGCTATCTCTAGGACCGGATAGAAAAACCGGAAAAGTGATCAGTCTATGACTTGGTGCCACAGGACGGAGAATATTTGTGTTAAGTTAGCATCAGTTGGTTGATAAATCACGACTTCCTGATTGCGATCCGAGAGACAGTTCGAATCTTTGGCTAGGAATTGCAATCAATGGAGAATACCCTGCAATTTCCTTCTTTCTTTCCTCTCTGAAAGTAACATGAATTGGAAAATGTTGAAAGATTACGACATGTTTGCTTGCTTGCTTTCTGGATGGCGACCCTCATTCATTCTCTCTCTAAATTCCTTGTATATTATTTTTTTTATTATTTGTGTGTTGTGGCGCATCTCTTGATGCCCATATGGTACAAAGTTTGAGTTTAAAAAAAAGGTAAATGAAATAACGATACCTGCTGCTGATTGATCTGAGTAGTGCGCGACCATTCATCCCCAGCTAGATTGGGTTGATCTGAAAACCTTTACTTCAAAATACTTCTTAACGGAAAATTTGCAGCCTACAGCCATCCAGAGATTTCTTATAAGCGGAATGGTGTTAGCTGCCTACAATATTTCGTTGTCCTGTGATGTGGTTTCATCGACTGATTGATTGCATGTTTGTCTTGTTCGGCAAGTCTCAGTGCTAACAAACAGTGAAAGGACTAGAAACCATTGGAACAACATCCGTTAAGTCACGCTAAGAGCATTGTTAAGAGCTGAGTTCACTTATTTGATTGACTCTGTTTAAAACGCCTACCCCCTCCGCAAAGTATCCTTCTTTCGGCAGTCATTAATCATCCGAAAAAATTAAGGGGTAGGGCTTGATACTGCGGTAGAGTATGATTTTCTAATTAAAATAAATTTGTGTCATAAAATATTAATGAGTAGATAACGTTTCGAGCACAGTTTATCTCCCACTATCACAGTAAGTTAATCATACAACTTTCTAATTTGCTTCGTAGAATTCTATATCTTCACACCTTTCTGATGGATGAAAATACCTAACTATACTACCTCCTTTTTTAAATGGTAGCGTACCAACACATATATAGCAATGGCTTTCTTATAGAGTCACTTATCCTTGCTAGATTTGTCATTACGCTCTGACCCCTACCCACCGGTTCAACCTATGTATCTGACCTCGCAGTCACTACATGGTATCCGGTGAATTAGATTATTTGATAGAGATTTGGTTGCAGGGTATCATCATGAGCTGACATCAGTTAGAGAGGACCATTGGAAAACCAGCACTGGAGTACTGGACAGCTGTTTCGTTGGCCTAGTTTGGGACTCTTCATCGACAGGCACCCACCGCCAGGGTTCGAAACCAGGACCTTCTGGTTACAAGGCCAAAGGGCTCGTAGACCATTAAGCAGCCACTGGGACTCGATTCAATGGCCAGTCCATGAATTCCAACTTCTGCCATTTCAGTCAGATTATTAAGCTGATAAAATTTCTCTCTAACTGAATTGTGTCCTCCACATGTCTCCACCGTACCTTAAGACAGAGACCGAGCATTATAAGAATCCTACTGGTGATGACCTCACTAACCACTTCATTTATGTGTTTTTATATTTGTTTATCCTGAAATTCAAAAACTAGAAGTCTGACACACCTGAACACCCAGCATTATTGTATTTATCCAACCGATGATCTAGTTCCTTGTGTTTAGAATCAATGTTGTTCATTCTCTTCTTGATTGCTTCCAAAGGTGAATTGACCGTGGTGTTGATGTTTAAGCTTGTTATTATCAAAGCTAATCGTTTTCCATCCTTTTCTACCTAAGTACTCTCCAGTACCTGTTACACTTAGAATTAATTAATTAATTCTAAATTTGCTTGGTTCCTGTATAGATATACTATGGATGCAAATTATCTAAGCAGTTGATACCTGTTGGGATGTTCCAAAAGTCGATTATGGGTTTAATAGAGTATCATAGTTTGTGAACCTTAATAGCGCCAGATATTTCACTAGGATTATGGATTTCACGTGTTAAGTTTAATTCATCTGATTCTGATTCATCCGCAGGCAAATTCATACAGTGAAGTATATTAACTGTAGACTTTCTCAGCCTAAAACTGTCAACGAACTGACGTCAGTTAGCGAACCAATGAAGACCGAAGAGTACTTGACAGCTGTTTCGCCCAAGTTTTAGGCTCTTCATTGGTATGTCCTCATCACCCCACCAGGGATTGTACCCAGGACCTTCAAATTACGATGGGAGCTCGTTGTCCATTCATTCACGGGGACGGAATTCAATGACCCGTCAATTTTAACTTCTGATGATTCGCGATATATATATCACAACTGCCAACCAATGTCATCAGCAAGTATTGTCCTGACACTCAATTTGATGTGCCCCACTGGTCACAATTGAGATTGGTTACAGTGTATTGATTTTTCTTCCTGATACCAACCGATTCATCGATTACAGATGGGCGAACAAAAGCTGGACTTTCAAAATAGCCCACTACTTAATATACACACATGACTTTTCACAGTACTGTTCTTCATCTCATCGAACCCCAAATAATAAGCATCCTTTCTTATTCAGATTAAGACTGCCTCTGTGACAGTGGTTTGCGGAGGAGGAGTACACTAGGCCGGTGGGAGCCGTTCCCGTATGTTTTAATAAACTCAGTGATTATGTCGCTTACATTTGCAAATAGTTGTGATGCGTCTGTATTATGAACAAGTGTGAATCGTTATAAACTTTGTTTTTTTTTAATAGTAAACGACAAGAGCAATCCTTTATCAGCCATCTCGTGAATTTGTGTCATATTTTTTAGTCTGTCCACTCCCAAGTGCTCTCCAGCTAATATGACTCATCCAGGAAGGTATTCGTCAGTTAATTGATGAAGAAAGAATAATAAAATGGAGAAACTTGAGAACTTAGTGGATCTGGGAGACTACAAAGACTGAATGCATCTGAGCAGTGTGAACGATTTTGAGCCATATCACCAACAATCTCCAACTATTTGGTTATTAGCACCTCAAACACCCCAATCAGGTGGTAGTGTAACAACAGAAGACAAGGGCGAAGCAACAGATCGTTTTATTATGAAAATCAACACGTATTTATACATCTTTCAACTACATTATTATAGACAAGCGCAGTCATCTGATTGGTTGTTTAGGTAGACAAACGCAGGCTTCTGATTGGTTGTTTCGGGATTCCTTGACAAATAGAGTTCTCTATCTGCGAATCATATTCTGCCACGTTAACTTTGCTGTGATTGGTTGTTGACTCAGGCTTGTTCATATTTTCTCACGGCCCTTATTAGTGACCTAGACCTTAACGTAGATTAGTGCCAACCAATCGGCTAGCAGCCTGCTCTCACCACACTCGTCCCCCCGTCAAATACGTGCGACTGAAGTCGGCTTGATCTACTTGGTGCAGGCGTCATCGTTGGCTTGTCTCGCTGTATCCATTTCTGGAGCTCGCTGACGTTCACGCGCCTCTCATTGTTCGCCATTGCGACTGTGTCTGCGTAACCCCATCTCGAAGTGACTATATATGGTCCTTCCCACTTTGGAAACTGTTTGCCTGACCCTGTCGAACATTCGTCCATACTTCGGCCCACACCTTCATATGCTGCTTTCGCCCGACCTCCCAGCAGCGTCTCAAGTAGCAGCTCCATCGCTGACAGATCTTGAACGCCACTCAACTGCGCAGAAGCCTTGAAGTCCTGCCCGAAGATCCATATGTCTCCATCAAAAACTGCAGGGTATAGGCTTTTCATTTGTCGGTAGGCAGCGACACCAAATGTAACAACAGAAGACAAGGGCGAAGCAACAGATCGTTTTATTATGAAAATCAACACGTATTTATACATCTTTCAACTACATTATTATAGACAAGCGCAGTCATCTGATTGGTTGTTTAGGTAGACAAACGCAGGCTTCTGATTGGTTGTTTCGGGATTCCTTGACAAATAGAGTTCTCTATCTGCGAATCATATTCTGCCACGTTAACTTTGCTGTGATTGGTTGTTGACTCAGGCTTGTTCATATTTTCTCACGGCCCTTATTAGTGACCTAGACCTTAACGTAGATTAGTGCCAACCAATCGGCTAGCAGCCTGCTCTCACCACAGTAGTAGTCTACAACCCCCCCCTTCGTACGTGGCTGATTCATACCAACTGTCACATACTTCATAGATTGATTTCAGGTTGTGGTTTGGCCACACTCCTATCTCTTTTCCTGCCCAATCCTGTGTCAGCTAGCATTGCTCGGCGAGAAGGAGGAT